CTGAAGAGGCAGAACACAAGAGTTAGTGGGAACAAGGGTGTGATGGATGGGGCAGGGGGGGGGGGGGGGGGAAGGATTCTAACTGTTGAAGCAGCAATTATAAAGGGAAGTGTGGGAAGGAGACGACCTTCAAGATAATTCTGGAGAGGGAGATATAAAAAAAGCGCTTTATTAAACATTTAACTTTTTAGGAACAACTCAATTTTGTTTCTGTAGTAATGAATATAACAATTATATACGAAAACAATCAATGTCATGAAATCCCAACATAGTTACCCGTCAAACATAACATATAATCACAGAAAATGTACCCACACATCCAGATTGTGTCAAGTAAGAAAACGGGATGTTTAACCTTGGACCGGTCACAGAGAAGCACCTGGATTATCTACACACAAATCTTACACTAACTCTTTTTCAGGTTTCTCACTAATCATGTACTCATATCACATGATACGGAAATTATATGTGAATGCCACGTTCACATTAAACCCAGCTGATACGATGACTTAAATCTGATATTGCTAAGAAAATAAAAGAGTCGTGTGCATACAAGCATGCTTTGGATACTTGGCTAAAATTTCTGGTAGTATATCATTTTGAATAAAGTACTTACACATTGCTTCACCATTGACACAGTTATCCCTGAATTCTGCGATTTGTCCACCTTCGAATACATAGTGACGCAAGGTACACGAGTAGTTTTAAGTGCGAGGTGTGCATTTGTGTGCTCATGTTGACCAAATCACACACCAGAAAGTGAAGGGACGACGACGTTTCGGTCCGTCCTGGACCATTCTCAAGTCGAAAATCGACTTGAGAAAGGTCCAGGACGGACCGAAACGTCGTCGTCCCATCACTCTCCAGTGTGTGGTCTGGTCAACATATTTCAGCCACGTTATTGTGACTCCTCGTCTGCATTTGTGTGTTCATCTTTATGTGCTTGAAGAGCGAGTGTTAGCTCTTGGACCCCGCCTTGCAACTACCGGTCACCAACTGCAAGTAGGACACAGCAGGACACTGACACAATGTTGAGTAATAAATTAAAAAAAAAATATGCGCCGTAAACTTAAACATATAATTCTCTGTGTGCCAAAGCCAGCTCTTCAAGCCTGTGAAAACTCAGTTTGTAAACATAGAAAAAAAATCATGTAACAACTAAGTTACATAATTAACTTGTACACAAAATAAAGATTTTATTTATTCTATAGATGCATCTAAGAACTGGAATTAAACCTATGAATACAGACTTAACGCCACGCTATCCTACTCCTCTTCATAACGCCACGCTATCCTACTCCTCTTGATAATTAGGTCTGACGTATGATAAATCTCAAACACTAATGGGCAGAAACTATTAAAATCAGGAACCGATATAATTAGGCCTGAGAACTGCATGACTCCACAAATGTGGAGTTTTCAGTTGCATATATGCCTGGGGACCATTCAGGCTTGTTCGCATTTGTGTTGCTCACGTGGCCGCACTAAGAGGAGGTGATTTGATAAAATAACCATGCCCAAGATTACCATCAAAGTGCCGACGGGGAGGTGGTTCAAATAGCCTCGGCTATCACCTCTTTTTGTAAGGTTACTGATGGTCGAGTGGTTAAGGCCTCCTGTACACCAGTTGCATAGTGCTCCGCTCGCAAATTTGACGCGCTGTCCCTTTTTTTTATTTGTGGGTGCTCGGTTAGGTTCGGGCAATTTAGTACATCCGTTTAGTGACGTTGGAAACGTTAGAGAGGTCGGGGGGGGGGGTTGTAAACACAATACATAAGTACGAGCTTACTGTGCTTCAGGTCTCACGCAAAGTTGTCTAGTTTAAAATACTAGCGAAGCGGACATGGCTGATTTATAATCGTGTGTTAAGTCTACTTGTTCACAACTTGTATAGTGTATACACTCAGCCTAGTGTGTAAAAGTTCAGAGTAAAGCAGGAATAAAACTCCAAAATACCCCAGTTACCCATCCTCACAAATATTACAGAAAATGAATAAAACAAAAATTCTCTGCAAAGTGTTTCAGAAAACGATAGAGTAACGGGGAGACTAAACTAGCAACATTTAAACAAGACTCTTGCTTGGGCATGTCATCCCCATGACGTTACGTACCGTAACATACTTAGATCACGACCCGTGTGACATTGTCACAAATTTGGGGGGCAACAGATTCTTGTAAATAACACACACACATGTAAATGGCTTAGCTTTCAAGACCATTAAGGGGCTACAGTTCCCGAAACCATTACGTAACTGTAACCTTCATGTTTATTCAACTACATTAGCCAAATCTCTTATACCTCGTCTGTAGTTTCCTTCACGTCTATGTTCTTAGTTAAAACTGTGAACTGACTTGCGGTAAAGGACCCCATACCCATCCTGTGTGTGGTAGTGGACCAGGAGCCCCGTACCCATCCTGTGTGTGGTAGTGGACCAGGAGCCTCATACCCATCCTGTGTGTGGTAGTGGACCAGGAGCCCCATACCCATCCTGTGTGTGGTAGTGGAGCAGGAGCCCCGTACCCATCCTGTGTGTGGTAGTGGACCAGGAGCCTCATACCCATCCTGTGTGTGGTAGTGGACCAGGAGCCCCATACCCATCCTGTGTGTGGTAGTGGAGCAGGAGCCCCATACCCATCCTGTGTGTGGTAGTGGACCAGGAGCCCCGTACCCATCCTGTTTGTGGTAGTGGACCAGGAGCGCCATACCCATCCTGTGTGTGGTAGTGGACCAGGAGCGCCATACCCATCCTGTGTGTGGTAGTTGACCAGGAGCCCCATACCCATCCTGTGTGTGGTAGTGGACCAGGAGCGCCATACCCATCCTGTGTGTGGTAGTGGACCAGGAGCGCCATACCCATCCTGTGTGTGGTAGTGGACCAGGAGCCCCATACCCATCCTGTGTGTGGTAGTGGACCAGGAGCCCCGTACCCATCCTGTGTATGGTAGTGGACCAGGAGCCCCATACCCATCCTGTGTATGGTAGTGGACCAGAAGCCCCAGACCCATCCTGTGTGTGGTAGTGAACCAGGAGCCCCAGACCCATCCTGTGTGTGGTAGTGGACCAGGAGCCCCAGACCCATCCTGTGTGTGTGGTAGTGAACCAGGAGCCCCAGACCCACCCTGTGTGTGGTAGTGGACCAGAAGCCCCAGACCCATCCTGTGTGTGGTAGAGGACCAGGAGCCCCATACCCATCCTGTGTACTCACCTAGTTGTGCTTGCGGGGGCTGAGCTCTGGCTCTTTGGTCCCGCCTCTCAAAAGTCAATCAACAGGTGTACAGGTTCTTGAGCCTATTGGGCTCTATCATATCTACACTTGAAACTGTGTATGGAGTCAGCCTCCACCACATTGCTTCCTAATGCATTCCATTTGTCAACCACTCTGACACTAAAAAAGTTCTTTCTAATATCTCTGTGGCTCATTTGGGCACTCAGTTTCCACCTGTGTCCCCTAGTGCGTGTGCCCCTTGTGTTAAATAGCCTATCTATATCAACCCTGTCGATTCCCTTGAGAATCTTGAATGTGGTGATCATGTCCCCCCTAACTCTTCTGTCTTCCAACGAAGTGTGTGTGTGTGTGTGTGTGTGTGTGTGTGTGTGTAGTAGGGGGGATGGCTCCACACAGACGATATTTTTTTTCAGGTCAAATATCGTCTGTGCGCCCCAAGGGTTTCAGGTAAATTTAGAATATCCCCTGTGCGCCCCAAGGGTTTCAGGTCAAATATCCCCTGTGCGCCCCAAGGGTTTCAGGTCAAATATCCCCTGTGCGCCCCAAGGGTTTCAGGTCAAATATCCCCTGTGCGCCCCAAGGGTTTCAGGTAAATTTAGAAAATCGTGTGTAGCGCTTGGGGGTTTTCAGGTAAATTTTGTCAGTCGCAGATTTTAGAAGTAAGGATTTCTTATGAGAAAAATAATTTCCGAGACTTAGAAGTTTGTTAAAGCCTTATGGGAGAAATTCAAATAACGTGTGTAGCACTTTAGGGCTTCCAGGAGAACTCTACGGACATATTTTACATGTTTTCAACTTACAAAATCGTCTATGTAAGCCTTAGTTATTCATATAAATTTAGAAAATCACCTGTGTAAGTCATTGTTTTCAGGGTTTCGTACATCACACCCCCCTCCCTCCCCCCTTACCTCGCAATCTGTCGCCTCACCTGTGTTTACTTTGCGCCCAGCCAGCCAGTCGGCTCTTAATCTTATCTTATCTTCATAATATCTGGACCGTCCCTCCTCTCTCTCTCTCTCCTTTCATTCAGTTCAACTATTTTCCAACATCGTATGTTTGCTCCTTTTCATTAAGCAAGTCAGTATGTTTGCTCCTTTTCATTAAGCAAGTCAGTTTTACACAAATAAATCATGTTAGTAAGCAAGTTCTAGCTCACGTTCCCCACCTTAGTCCCCTGTCGTATAAAGAATACTATCATTCCAATCCCTCTAAAATTTAAAAATAATCATATTTCAAATGTAGTTCAATACAGTAATTTAGTTACCAAGCTCCAGCTCTTGTCCTCCGCCTTAGCTCTCTCTCGTATCTTCGTTAGTATCAGTCCAATTTCCCTGAAATTTCTACCCTCTGTATTTCAGACATAGTTTAGTAAATGCAAACAATTATCAAACTCTAGCTCTTGTCCCCAGCTTAGTTCATTTGTACAAAATCATTAGTAACAGTCCAAATTCCCTGAGATTTTTAGCCTCTGTATTTCAGACACCGTAAATAAGATCAAAACAGTTACCAAGCTCCAGCTCTTGTCCTCCGCCTTAGCTCTCTCTCGTATCTTCGTTAGTAACAGATCAATTCCCCTGAAATTTCTACCCTCTGTATTTCAGACACCGTAAATAAAATCAAGTCAGTTATCGAGCTCCAGCTCTCGTCCCCGCCTTAATTCTCTTTCGTATCTTTGTAAATAACCCATCAATTTCCCTAAAATTAAAAAGCAGACATACTTCAAAGTTAGTAAATAAGATCAAGTCAGTTACTGAGCTCCAGCTCTCGTCCCCC